CTGCTATGATTGCTTGCACAGCTATAAAGCATTCAAGTGGTAATTGTTCTGGTCTCTGAAGTGAAGSTCTTCTGCTGTCAAAGCCACTGTGGAGAAGTGGAGGGGTTGGTAGATTTATTTGATTCTAGTGTGCCTCCTATTGTGACTTGATCAGCTGGGAGACAGCTTCTTGGAGAAAGTAAAGCTGGACAGTGACAGTCCTCAGCCCAAGAGGGAGACCTGTTCCAAGGTTTCCTCCCAAGTGACCAAGTGTGCTGTTGAGTGAGGGGTGMAAGGTGCCACATCACCAACTGCTACCCTGAACCCTGGCCTGCAACACCACTAAGGATACATTCTGCCTAGCTCGTGGATGAAGAAACACTGCATTTTTGATGGCCATTCAGATGCCAATAAATCACAGCGAGCAGGGAAATGCAGGAGAAGCAACACCTGCCAGGTGTCCAAGGGAACACTGTATGAGAGGGGAATGTTCRTAAAACCCTCAGTGGATTAGAGAGGGCCATTATATTTCTTTCTATAAAAGTGACTGTCTCCATAGGACTGGACTGTCACCACACACTGAGAAATTATGCTCCTGCTGATAATGCTCCAGTTTKTTTTCTGGCAGGCTCCATAGTGATGGAAAGCAGGTGCAGGAGATCATGAGTCCCCTATTGCTAAATGTTGCATGTTGGGAGGGAAACTGGGGTCTGTTTTGTTCAGATTGGAAGGTGGGCTCACTGTAGGTCAGCTTAGGCCTTCAACTCCTAGCAGAGTTGAAGCAACTGGAATACATTGGGAATATGGGTCTACCCATAGGTCAGGGAATAGGTCAGCTTAGGCCTTCAACTCCTAGCGGAATTTCCAGCAACTGGAATACATTGGGAATATGGGTCTACCCTTCACTGCAGGATTGCTTGGGGGATGGCAAGTACCTTGTTGTATGCATATAGCAGCTGCTCCCTTAACCCTAACTGCACACACATTAGAACCTAGCAGCMATGAAATATTTTTGTCCTGTGGCTGCTTACCTTGTACCCTCACATCTGTATGTCCTGAACCTGGCCAGGAGCTGGAAGAAACCAGGCAAGACTACAACATTGGGCAGAGACCTTTGATTCCTTAGGACCATGTCTTTTCCCCTAGGAGAGCAGTGTGGCCCTAGGACAGGGCACAGAGGTGTGGTGGCATCTCCACCATTGAGTCCATCCACATGGATCAGTGACCTCAGTTAGCTGTGAGAAAGAATGGTTTTGCTTGGAGCAGACATCTTAGGGACCTTCTCCACTTGAGCCTGTCAAGGATTCATTAGGTGGAAGACATCACCACGGTCTCAGCAAGACTCCCACACCAGAAATAGCTGGAAGCYATAAAAGCATTCATGAATGTTTCACCCTTTTCTTATGCTTCTTAAATATATTTCTCCTGAGTTACGGAATTTGAGCCTTCCCTCCTCCTGAGACTGCATAGCAGCTCAGAGCAGAGATCTGTAACTAATGCATCGGCTGGAAGGGCTTGCCCATATCCCATTCCAGGAGCCAAAGTACTTAAACTGGTGACTGCTCTGACTTATCTGTACCCAAGGAACACGCCAGCTGTAATTATTTTTCCACAAAGACACCCTTTTTCTTTCTTTAAGCCTTGTGTAAATGTCAATAACCAGTCTTTGAAAACAGCTAACTCTTTGGCAGGGTACACCTCCAMGGGGGAGGATACAGACAGGCTGGGCAGCTTCTCTGGCTGCAGTGGGACAKAACTTCACTGGGCCAGAGCATTTGGTTTGAAGCTTAGTTCCATCAAAAAAAACCCCAAGGACATAAATATGGTTTATTGCAGTAGTTTAGAGCCAGCTGAACTGCCCAGTAGGAGCAAGTCTGTGGAAACACCAGGGGACCTTGGGAGCATCACAAGCCAGCCCAGTACTGCTGGCTTTTTGGCAAAGCTCTGTGCTTTTCCCAGGGGTACAGGGTGCTCTTGGTGCTGCTGAGAGCCATGTCCTCAGCACAGCCTCCCATGACGCACAAGGGCCCTTCCCGCCCCCTGTGACCGCACAGAGCCTTGTGGAGGACATTGTGAAATCAAGCTGATGCTTGAGTCTGGTGATGGTTGCACTGGCAGTGCTGGAAGCAGCGTCATGGTGTGTAAGAGAGAAAAGGGCAGTGCCCTTACAGGGAGACACTACAGAGCAACAGGGAACTCTGTGGTACATGTTGAAATGTAAGCCCCATTTATCCCTTGCTTTGTGGTCAAGAGACTTCCCTCCAAAGACCCAATCTCTTAGAGAGGCTCATTTGCTAATTCTATTCTTTGTAAAGAGGAAACCGAAGAAGAAATGTTGACTGCTGTTGGGAAGTGACACACTCTAGTTTCCTCCCCTCTTGCACTGCCCTCCGTTAGCAAGACAGACACATCTTCCACACGTCACTCTCCACTGCAAGTGCCTGTAAGAGCTACATTTAAAACCAAATTAAAATTTGGTCTGGCAGCAAAGTACTGTCTGGACACATTTACACTCCCATGATTTGGAAGGTACGTGTTTCTTACCCTTTGCTTATTATCCCATTCYGGGCAGGTTTTCTCAGGTGTGTCCCCCTCATGGGTCCTCCTGTCAAACATCTGAAACAAGAACGTGGAGTGCTCATGCATTTTCAACCCTGTTTTGCTGGGATGCAGATGCAAGCAACCTACACCCTGCCTTTCCAGGACCTGCAATCCWGTGTGCTCGAGAGGAGGCTGCCGGGATGGCAGTGGTTCAGCAGAGCTGCTCCCCTGTAGGACAGCAGCCCCAGGCCAATGGGAGATTGACAAAGGGAGTTGGATGTGGAGCAGGGGAATCCTTGCCCTCTTCTCCTTTACCAAACTGTCCCTGGAACACAAACTTTGGAATCTTGAACCTCCGAGCAGGTCCAAGATCACCATGACACGACAGCTGGTTATCTCTATGCAGAGGTGGCACTGAAAACTCTCAGGACACAGAGGCTTGGGAACTTCAGAGAGAAGTGGCTGGGGGAGGGGCTAGAATGGCAGGAGCATTCTAAGAAATCTTTTCATATTAACCAACAAGTACACAATCACACCTGCCACCAAGGCCTTTATAAATGCAGCAATTGCAATGTCAGTATCCTCCAGTGTACAACACATGGGCACTAGGTGAGAAACCGCAGARCTGAGCTCTCTTGGCCCTTCTAATGCTTGCACCATCTTCTCAGCTGTCCTAGCYGGCTTGGACTTCCCTCATATCCTAAACTGAAACTGTCCTCACATGGGGTTTGCAGCCACAAAGCTGTTACAGAAATGTCTGGCKGTAGTTTTCTCATTCATGAGCTTGGGCCAGCATTCAGATGTGAAAACAGCCCTGGCCAAGACATCCCAATCACCTGAGGCAGAGGCACAAATACCTTTTAAAAATATTTTTTTCCCTGCAGCCAGAAAAACAATCCAATTACCTTTTAAAAGAGACCTGTGTTGTATGTTTGATTAAAAGAGCCACAGTGGTAAGAAAACCCGAACCATTTTAATTGAAGCGTTCAACAGCAGTTGCTGAGATGCGGAGATGACAAAGAATTTGTGTAGAAAAGGGAAGCGGCAAATGGTTGCCAAGAAGGTAAGGTAGCCCTTTGCCTCATGCTCTCAGGTAGGGAGTTACACGCAGGGCTTGTGTCTTTACCCACTGCATGAGAAAAATTGCACACACATAACTTTCCCCCTGCCCCCAGGACATTCTTCAGCCTTCTCCTTTTCCCTGGTCCTTTTTCCAGGAACCAAGTGCTCTCAGCTGCTTTTGGACACATCTACCACCACTGGAAGAATCCCACCACAAGGCAGTGCCAGAAGGGCCTCTGGACACAAACAGCAGCGGGTGACAGCCAAGACAGACTCCCCTGAGCCACAGGAGAGTAACTGATCAGACTGGCCATAAACACCACACGATAACCCTTTCCAAGGTGAACACAGATCCCAYATTTCTCTGTCAAGAGAAGCTTCACCCCACTTTGTCAGCGTGCTTGGTTTTGTGATGCAAATACGAGGGGAGGCAACCAAGGAACTAAAAGCTTTACCTTACCCAGCTGCTACAGAAAGCAAAACACCCTGGRAAGAGAGCTCATTTTCTGACAGCAGTACACTTGGAAAGGGCCACGCTCAGAAGGTGCTCAGTTATCTCTGTGTAGAGCAAAGGCCAAGCTCACTCTCTGCAGGGCTTTGCAGTAAGATGGGAAACGGCACCGACGAGGGAGCTGCTCAAACCTGCACACACCAAGGCAAACACATCTTCCTCCCCTTCCCCCACAGCCTCCCATCTTACCTTATCTGTAAGCAACAAAACCCACCCATTCAGTAGTTGATTGTTTGAAATAAAACACCTTCAGGGCATCTGGGGCTCAATCTYTCTGGTCAAAGCCAGGTCAAATCCCGAAACTAGCCCTGGCTGGCATTTACACCAGCTGTTCCCTTTCTGCAAAGGGGCATGTTTCCTGCTAGTGCTTCTTATTGCAGTGACACAACAGAGAYAATTAGTTCGACAGAAACAGTCGGGTCTAACTTTAACTTGATCCTGGTATTAGAAAAGAGCCTGCCCCCGCTTCTGCAACACCTCTCTCAGCATCCATCACACCTCAGTTCACACACAGAGAGAAAGCACTGATCCCAGATCAAGCCAGAGTGGGGGAAGGGGAGAAGGGGGAGAACAGAGACTCACTCAAAAGCACAAAACCCCAAAAAGGCTGTTCCTAGCACTRCAAGCAGGGGAAGAGTGAAGCATAGTTCAGGAACAGTGATTAGTGGGGAAAYCTAAGAGCACAGAGAAAAGGGCAGGGGCTCCTCCCATCCCAGGGCTGCAGAGGCAATGGAAGCATTTGTGTTGGCAGGAAGGCAGCAGGAATAGGCAGCTCTTTCCTGTTTCAGGCAGCAGAATTCAATATGTATGTGTGCTCTTCCCTGCCARTGGCCACTTTCAGGAAGCTGGACCCATGTCCAAATCGCCTCCCCAGCCCCACGAGGTCTGAAATATGATGATGGCAAGATACACAGCCAACATTTTGTTCCACCTTTATTTTAACAATCAGATAAAAACAGAACCATATTTTTAAAAGAGTCATTACATGGCAATTATAAAGTGCATTTTCCACTTGAATGTTGTGTACAAAAATATCCTTTAAAAACAAACATGCAAAACATCCTACAAGGCACTTCCAGGCATAGAGCAAGGAGAGTAAGCACCTCACTTCTATGTTCACATTGCAAATGGAAAAAGGGAAAAGGGGAAAGGGGAAAGGCCACAAGTAGTATTTTTACACTGCTATTGGTCAAATAGTCAGTTCCCAACCTAGCTCTTACTTATGGCATTGCTCTTCTAGCTTATCTTCCATGTTCCTCCCTAAGCACACCCAATGCACAGCCTGAAAACAAGCCTGTATGGWGATACCACCATCCACAGCACCCCAGACCCACATGCCTTGTTTTGGCTCACAAACAGCTCTCCATAGGCACAAGAAAGTGCCAGGAGAACATGACTTTCCTACAGTCAGTGTCTTACAACATTAACACCATACACTAAATAAATAAAAAGCATCAGTGTCACTCAAACTTGCTTAAAGTTTAAAACTAAGCCAAGCTAGGCAACAGTCGCTCCCAGAGAGACCAGCTGCAGGCTCTAAGGGCTGACTTGGAAAGTTGTCTGGACAGAGGAACTGAGCCTAATGAGCTCTAGACTAGCAAGAAGATTCACCACCTCGACTAAGTGATCAGGCACAGTGAACACATGTATTGATTTTGTATTTTGAAAAAAAGCAGCAGTTGAAGGCCAGCTATTCTTCCTGCAAGCTCTCGTCCCTTTTGGTATCCAACAGTGATCCCAGTATCCCTTCTAGGTTAGAGTAAAACAGCTTGTAAGTATTTATATAGYAGTCTCCAGAATAAAAAGCTACATTAACAAAGTTAAGTAGTCTAGCCTGTTGCTTCTCTCCAGCCCATCCACAGGCTACTAGAGACACCCAAAAATTATATAAAGCTCATGCACTAGAAAAACTAGGATTCTCTTGACCTCTATTTCTACAGTCTGTTCAGCACTCTCCTTTGAGMTGAGGGATTAAGTCACTCTTCCCAGTTAGCACCCAAGAAGCTTTGAGAAGCTATTTGGCATTGCACGAGCTCCCCACTTGAGCACACATCCAGAAGATGAGCCACCCCTTTAATGATAGGGATGGCTCCCCTCTGTGATTCATGTCACAACAGGGGTGCTGTCAGGATAACCCCACATCTCACTCTCCTCATGGCTAGCTCTTTGCATAAGTGGGGTGAGCCACTTTCTATGGTCACAGAGATGCAAAGTCTGGGCATTTGCAGGTCAAAATGGCACATACTGCTCCAACAGCGAGGGAAGCCCAGCCCATCCATCCAGGATAGCCACAGCACCCTCACAGGCAAGCGGTGCCATGCCTTTACCTGCCAAGCAGTCCATGGCACAGAGTGACAAACCATTACCAGATCTTAAAAGCAACATCAGTTACAAAGCCTGTTCATCCCAAAGCACTGCTGGGATCACACGTACCACCCATTTCTCAGTCAAGGCACTTCCACCACCATAGGCACACAACAGTCACCTTCCTATACAGGACACAGCATATACAGCCATGTGGTCTCTTTGTGTTTAGCTCCTGTAGCACCTGAGCAGAGTCTCCTGCACAGGACCCTGAGCCCCAGCTGGACAAAACTCTGGTTTACAGTCCACAGGAGGAAGACATGAATTTTCAGAGTCCAGCACAGCCAACTTCAGATGTCCATCAAGGGGAAGAAGCATCATGGATCAATTTTGATTCAAAAAACAGGCAGGTTTTGAAGTCAAGGATGTCAACTCACAGCTGTGTTACAAGCGTCACACAGCTACAGCTAATCTCTATTTTTGGTAACACCAATGGTATGAGAGTTTTTCAAGATCATCTGATACAACAACTGGTGACTAAGCATATCAGATCCTCTCCCACAGGCACATCTCCTAATTCGGCCGGCTGTAGGGCCACACTTCCTGTCACCACATTGTATTTTCACTTCCAAAGCATGCTTTCTGCTCCAGTAGGAAGGGCCTCACTACAAGGCTGTGTGCAAAGAGAGGACACCGTTCCCAGCAATCCAACCGCAGTGTTTGCTGACAGGCACAGGCTGGCTTTGCAAGGAGAACCCTGCAGCTGTGGTACAGCCCACTAACAATATAATACTAGGACATATTTTGAAAGAGCCTTTTAACACTAGGCAGGCAAGACAAAGCAGCCACCACTACATAGCTTGGGCAGGCAAAATAAGCACTGTAGTGTTTCCCTGGACACTGGCAACTTTACTGAAGAAGAAGTGTTGAAGAGACATGAGCAGTCCTTGKTCCTCTGATCACCTGGAAAGCCAGAATTGCTTCTCTGACTATAAACCTCCTGCCAGCACAGCACTGCATGTCTGGTTTTGCTGGGAGGCTTATGCTAAGCCACACAGAGCCAAACTCCTTCCACCTATTCATACACCTGTGTTCAGACCAGCCCCGAGGCTTGTAGACACACCAACAACAGTTAGTCAACCCGGCCTTTGTCCTTGGGTCAATAGTAGGGACCGAGCTTCTCGTAGCCTGAATAACTGGGCCACTCAGGAAAGAGGCCATAGGAGCACCGAGGGCTCCCAAACCGGTCAAATGCACTGCCAAAGTCAGGAGCCTGTGGGGGACGGACAGCTTCYTGGGCAGACTTCAGTTCTGACCGTATGATCCTGTAATTTGTTCCCCTGTTGTTGTCCCAGTACACCTTCCCATTGCACTCAAAGGAAATGGCAAACTCGACTCTTTCGTGTGATTGAATCCCCTCAGGCAAGCTGATGTCAAAGGAAAACGTGTCCCGATCTGACCCTCCATACATATCCTTGACATACTGGCATGGGTGATCTACAAAGCTTTTCCAGGTGTCAAAYGTCATCCGGATCTTCACAGTCTTTTCAAAAGCGATGTTCTTCACCTTCACCGTTCCCACAATAGATTTCTCCTTTAGCATACAGTTTTCCAGACAGACACAGTCTGTCTGGAGGCGGTTTCTGAAGTCCAGGTAGTCTACAGAGGGCTGAACAAAATCCAGGACAAAGCTGTCCTTCTCCACTGTTGTCAGACCCACGATGTTGTCTATCAGCTCTGTGATGTTGAAAGGAATATCTAGTGGATCTTCAAACTCTGAGAACACCTTCACCATTGTCAGAGCAAAGCCTCTGCTATCTGCAAACGACACTCTCTTCTTCACTTTGCTGTGTGTGAAGGAGTTTGCTGCCTCTTCTGGTCCGTTCAGTGCAGCCTTGCTGCTCAGCTGGATGCAGGGCCGCAGTGGCTTGCTTGGCTTTGGAGCAATTTTGCAGGCGCACTTCTCTCTTCGCAAGGGTGAAGAGCACAGGTACAGCTGCATTGCTACGTCCACAGCCATTGCTTGCTTGTGAGGGAAATAGTCTAATACTCTAGAAGAAAAGATGAAGGGTCAGTTGATGCTAAAAAAGCGTTTCAATGTGAGTTTTGTCAGACAATTGATATATCACTTCCCCCCAGCCATTCCAAATAATCTTGCTTCTTAAATAAAGGCAAGCAGTTGTATGGTGTGATTTACAGGCACAGTGAGAAACACACTACAGCAGAAGTGGCAGGACCAGAGCCTGTTGTGCCCTTGAACAACATCTCTTCCAGCTGCTACAGGGACAGAGGCACCCTTTGAAGGCACACTCAGGCACTGCCCTACTAGGCCAGCAATAGCAGGCTCCAGAGCATTTCCAATCGAAAGCAAAGCCCACGGCTCAGTCCTGCCAATGTTCACAAAACCCACAGATTATCAAATTTCAATGCTACATAAAGCAGGATTCCTGCTGCGCTTCCCTCTCTCCAAGAGGAGATTCTCCCCAGAGCTTCACAAGCTTTTGCAGGAGCCGGAACTCTGTCACAAACTGCTWTACACAACTGACTTCACCTTTTATAAAACCCCAGATGTCAGCCAAAAAGCACTCTCTCAGTTGAACTACACCCTTAACTCATCACTGTCCCCCAGAACTGCTCCATCTAAAGGGCCTGTGAGTAGTACTGTAAGGATAGCAACAGTCTGGCACAGCAGCAGGGTACAGGCTTACCCAACACTGCTCTGGGGCTTTCTTCACTCCACTCCACTTTAAAACAAATGCCAGCTCAGAAGGCACATCAGCCAGTTTTCTCTCCAGCAGAGTTTGCATCTCAAGCCCCCACAGYGTTTGTGCTAAGCCCCTGGGAAATGCCCTTATAGCCACAGGGGCTCGGCCAAACACAACTCACCCACCCGAGGTTCACTGAGGCTTTGGAAGCAAGTCTGTCTTTCAGAAGGCACAGGCCCTGTACCCCTCCACTACAGCCTCTCCTCCAGGGATCCTGCACCATCTCTCTCGATGTGCCCATGTGCTGCTGTAGGGCAGCTCCCAGCTGGCACCTTACCAGATACAGTCCTGGAGTTGCCTCTGAAGCCAGGCAGCTCCCAAAAAACTGCACCAATCCCTCCTGCCCTTACACTGAAATTCAGATGAAAGCTTTTGACAGACTCTCTTTGGCCTGGCTCTGGATAACCCACTAGACAGATTTATCACACATCCCCCTTAAGTCAACTGTATTGCAGCTGACTTTAAACACAGAGTATTCYCTTAACAAAAATCCTGTTTGGCTGCAGGCCAGGCTCCAAAGCTGCTCCCACCACACAGAGCAGGATGAGGCAGCAGCAGTGACCACTGGCCTTGTGATGCAGCAGAGCTCTGGCAGCCAAAGCCACTCACAGCCAGCTTTAGTAACTGGATTGCTGCTCCCGTGCCAAGAAAAAGCAAGAGCTACACTCTCCAATTGAGTTCTTCAATTCCACACCCTGTAACATCAACACAGCAGCTCTGAGCATGCTTTCACAGCACCCATTCAGCAAGGGTATATATTTATTCAGAGCACATGTGGCTCCCATGTTGGCATCCCAACCCACCCACCAGCCAGCCAACTCCTGCTGCAGCACCTCCTTTCAGCTCAATGGCAGCTGCACAAGACAGACATCAGATCCACCTGTCTGTTAACACTATTCTCCTCATCTTTACCTGGTTTTGCCAAGTTTTTATTCATACACACTTTATATAGGTCATTTCCTCCTGTAAATTAATGCAGCCTCCAATACTACTTCTCTTACTTGGGTCAATTTCATCTGCATTGCGTCTTTTCCCAGGGAAATTTATTCAGTTGAATTCCTGTAACTTCTGGGAAGTCATGTTCCATAGTAAACTGTGGTTATTCAGAGTTTTAGAATGAAGAGGCATAAAATACCCAGCCCAATGGCATTACTTTGAGCTTTTTTTCCCAAGCTAAAAACTATAGCAAGAACTTTTCATAACCAATATGAGGGTGAGCTCTGTGCTTTTACAGACTGCCTTTTCAGCTCATTTGATAYACAGACAACTCTTTCTGCACTTGACAGTTTGCTGATGGCCAGCTCTCAGCCAGAGGCAGCTTTCTCCTTTTGGGGCTGATTAGGGCTGTCCTGAACTTCAAATGTTTTGAAAGTGGGAGCAGGGATACAATTTTCAGAACTCAGGGAGGAAAGAAAGCTCTAGGAAGCAAACAGCACAAGGCAGGGAGCCCTGWGCACTTACAGGGGCCAATCCTTTCCCTCTCCCCTCAAAAGGAGAACAAACGCGACTCTGCCTCCGGACTTCTTCCTGTAGCTTTACTCTCTCCAGAAAAGGATGTCTGTCGCCACTCACTTCTCCCTCCCGTCATTCTACAAAGGAAAACTAAGCCAGAACCAAGGAATTACTTACACCTCCATTATCGAACCCCTTCGGTTGCCTCCGCTCTGCTCCCCACGCTACCTGGGACAGGTGCCCTTGCCGAGTCAAAGTTGGCAGCTGGCTGAAGCAGCGCTCGGACGCTCCGCACCCGCTCCTCCTCCCCGATCCAGAGAAAGCTGGGCCGTCCCGCGGACACAGCCCGCTTCCCGCAGGCATTCCCGGGCGGTGTTAACTCGCTACAGCCCGCCCCCTCCGCAACACCCGCCAAGCCGCGCCGCCCAGACCCGGGAGAGGCAGCAGCAGAGAGCCCCACTGTCCGGGGCAGCAGCGGAGAGGCAGCCCCACTGCCCCGGGCTACCGCTCCCGGCACAGCGCGGGGGCTGCAGGAGCCAAGCCACAGGATCCCGTTTTCCCCCAGGAACAGCACCGCGGCGGGAAGCGCCAGAACTGCCCCACGCACGCGAGAGGGCTGCGACCTCGAGCAGGAGGCAGCCGGGGAAGGCAAAGAGGAGGAGGAACCAGCAGCAGCAGCAGCAGCAGCATGAGCGCCGGGGGGGTCGCAGCGGGCGGGGGCGGCGAGCCCGTACCTGGTGCAGTGCATGGGGCCGGTCCGGCGGCACCGCCTCACACGGGGCGAGCGCCCGGCCCGGCCTCTTAACAGCGCCCGGCCCCGCCCCAATCAGCGACAGCCAATGAGCGCGCTCCGAGCGCGGAGGCCCGGCACGCGAGGGGGCGGGGCCAGCCCGGTGGGCGGGGCCGCGGTGTGGAACGGGTCCTGAGGGGCCGCGCAGGAATGTGGAGTGCGACTGCGGGGGAACCTTCCTGAGGGCTCCCGTGTGGGGGAATCTCCCTGAGCCAGTGTGGGGGGCTCCCATGTGGGGGGCTCCCGTGTGGGGGAATCTCCCTGAGCAACGCCGGGGTTCCCGTGTGGGAGAATCTCCTTGACCAGCGCGGGGGTTCCCGTGTGGGGGAATCTCCCTGAGCAACGCCGGGGTTCCCGTGTGGGGGAATCTCCCTGAGCAGCGCCGGGGTTCCCGTGTGGAAGAACCCCACTAAGCAGTCTCGCCGACCCCCCTTCCCGCGGCAGGGCGAGCTCGTTGCGGTGGAAGTGCCGAGCTCTGTGTCAGGCCTCAGCTGCCCCAGTCCCTCACTGTCCCGCGGCTCCTGCACCGCTTGCTATCCCTGCGTGTCCGGAAACACAAAATCAATGCAGTTGGAAAAGAGCTCTGAGATCATGAAGTCCAACTTATGAGCAAATACCGCCATGTCAACTAAACCACAGCGCTAAGTGCCACGTCCAGTCTTTCCTTAAACGCCTCAGGGAGGGTGACTCCATCACCTCCTTGGGCAGCCTATTCCAATGTCTAACCATGCTTTCTGTGAAGAAATTTCTCCTAATGTCCAACCTAAACCYCTCCTGGTGCAGCTTAAGACCATGTGCTCTAGCCCTGTCACTGGTTACCTGGGAGAGGACGCTCCTTTTAGGTATTTGTAGRCAGTGATTAAGACTTCTTTTCTCTGGACTAAACGCCCCCCACTCTCTCAGCCTCTCCTCAAAGAAYTTGTGTTYCAGACCCTTCCCCTGCCTTGTTGCCCTTCTCTGGACCAACTCCAGCACCTCAATGTCCTTCCTGAATTGAGGGCCAGAACTGAGAAGGGTAGAGATGCTGCAAGTAAACTGCTAAACCCATAGAAATGTGCTCTTGAAACAGGAAAGGTTTTTTGGGGCACTGATCATCCTGTCTGAGCTGGCCTAGGGTGTTTGGGTGCTCAGGGCCAGGTGGGGAGGAGGGCAACTCTCACACCTGCATCTTGTGGCCACAGCTCCAGGGCTGTGTTGGCACGGGGTAGAAATCTCCAGAGGATACCAAAAGATCTGCTTTCCAGTAATATTTACGATGTGCAGTGGAAAAAAATGCTTTTTTTTTTGTAGAGGTGGCTTCCCTCCATGAGGCAAAAACACCATCAGGGCCTGGCTGGTGCAGAGATCAGTGTCAGGGAATCCCTATCCAGCACATGTGCAGAGCCTGAAAGGTGTTTCCAACATCTTRAAAACATCTGCCAGGCGAGTCGATGTTCTGGCATACACCCCCACTGCTTTACAGGGCCAGCTGAGCCAAGGGGTCTTCACAGCTGCTTTTCTGACTCCAGTTCCCATTTCTGCTCCTTTGGGCTGCTCCTGAGCCCATGTCAGCACAGAGCCTGATGTCCTCAGTAATGTGAAAAGTGTGCATGGAGCGGGCCTCCCTGTCAGGGGAGTGGCTCTGTGAACAAACGCTGCCTCCATGGTCAAGCAGCAGAGTCTGTAAACCCTGCTGGAAGGTAGGGATGGTGCATTTGCATTCTCCCAGTGGTAGCAGTACAGATAATAGTACTTTTTGTACCACATCTGGCCTCTTAACTGCACAGCTGTAAGTAATGCTGCTCTCCCTCACCTTCCTTACAGAGCTGAAAAGCAGGATTGAAATGTCAACATTTGTTTTCCATTAGCTTGTGGAAACACAGACAGCTATTGTTAAAGCCGGAGACTTCCTGCTGGAAGCTGCCGTTTAATAAACTTATTACTCTGCAAGGCAAAAAGGTTTTGTTGGGGAGAAAACAATCATGCTTTTTCTGTTTTATAAACTTTTTTGATAAAGCAATGGTAATATTTACAGTTGGGGAGAGTGAGCTGAAAGATGTACCTGTTGCAGAAATGTTGCAAACTAGTATTTCATGTACTGAGGTTATGGTGGGATTTTAGCATGTGTTACTTMATGACAGGGTTTACAGCAGGAATGAGGGGAGCCATGTTCACATCTGCCCACGAGCAACAGACAGACATGGGATAAGGTGGTCACTCAACTCATGGACCCCCACCAGGGTTGCTCCCCTTCTCCAGGCAATGCCACTGCACTCTGGCTGTGYCACTGGTCCAGAGAGGTTTGGGTGGAAGTGGTGGACTTAATGGGATGAGATGCAACACTGGGAAACCTCAGCCTGACTCACACTTGTCACTCTGGTCCACCACAAGATTCTCCTGTGCATTSCTAGCAGCTCAACAGCACAGAGGTTGATGCTGGTTTGCCTCTGCTGTGCAAGCTTTGTCCAGCCAGCCCCCAGCACCAGGCATGGGATGCATATGAGRCAGCTTAGGGTACATTTCTGCCTGTGTTTGCCATGAGTGGGGCACAGGGTTTCACAACTGTGGCTCGGTGTTTGCCCCTGAAGCAAAGGTAGGTGGAAGTCTGGGCAGGGCATTGCGATGGATTGTGGACATAGGCTGCTATCTCTGGGAAGCTGAGATAGTGGCTATATTTAGCTCAGTGCTAGACCATTGCACAGTGGTCTTGTGTGATTTCCCCACCACTTTCCACCCCTCCTGCCTTACTGAGGGATGAGAAGAGCTTGCTCCCTGGCACAAGGAAGAGGCTGCACATTGCTTCTTTCTGGAGAAGTGTTGTAGAGCGAGTCCTATCCATGACAGACAGCTCTGGAAGGAGGGCCCCACTGTTCCATCATGTCTCAATTGAGTTTTCCTCCTCATTCATTGAGTMTTTACCCTGCACATCCTGGTACAGGACATGATGGCTCCTGCACCCTCRGGTGCAGCCCTGCTGGTTTGCTATAGGAGCTTCTGTGCCCCTCCTGAGGGGCCCTCCTTCCCCTGCCATGGTCTCTYAAAAGCCACCTCTACCAGAAGGCTTGAGTAAGTCCTCGGGGACCCTTCTTGGTCCTACCATCTCCTCAGTRCCCTGCTGGAAACATGGGTGGATGAAGCATCTTCTCCCCATTGGGAAGCTGCAGGCTGCTGTGACAGCTTGGCTTCCCAGCAGCCAGCCAGCAGGCAGCCCCAGCAGGGAAGGGGAGAGGGGCCAGGAGTGTTGTGCAATGTGTCCACACCACATCAGGCTACAGGACCAAGGCTCAAGGGCGAGGGCTGTAAATCAGTGGAGTGGCTGATGTAACAGGGAGCTGTGCAGGGCTGCAGCCATGGACCATCCCATCCCATTCCTCATGCCCTCTCCCAAATCAGCAATTCCTTCCCACCCCTTTTAGGTTTCATGAGACCCRACAGCTGATGGGGAGAGATCCAGTGAGCATGCTTGCTGAGCAAAAGCAGGGTAGGGCTTGGCTGCAGAGGCYAGTTGGCCACTGGCACAGGTCAGTGTCTGTACTTGCTGGCCAGCCAGCATTGACAGCCCCTTGGCCAGCTATGGCAAACATGACAGAAAGCTGTAGGAAACATGGATTCTCTTATATCAACTTGGTAACTCTCACCATCATCTGTAACTGTATGCTGAAGCCTGATGTGTTGCTTGTCCTTGTGCTCCCAGGCCCCAGTCCAGCTTCTCTAGYGTCACAACAAACACAGCTTCTCCAGAGGAAAGACTTGAGAAGTTCTGTCAGGTGATGGGATTTCCCCTTTTTGTTTCCTTAGGTCTCAAACTCCTGTGTCTGCCCCAGGCAATAAAGCAAAGAACATTCAATGTGCCTCAGCATCAAAGGAAATTCTACTCTTGGCTAAGGCTCTTGACTGTGTTTTGGGGAGCTGTGCTCTAGGGCAGAGGTCCCACTGCTTTTCCTGTCCAAAAATGAGAAGTTGCTTCAATATACTGGCTGCAGGCCTGAGGTGGGATATTTATCTTGGCATGGCTCCCTTTAGATCTCATGTGCACCCATGGTCAAACACCCCAAGGAATGTGTACTCTGCCCACTGAAGACCATGGCACCTTCCCTTCCAGCCCAACATGCACAGCGAAGATGGTGTGGGGCCAGATACAAAGCCAGGCCTTGAGAGAAAAGGCCCCTGTGCTGGAGAGAAAAACTGGGTATTACGAAACTGTGGTTCCTAATATCAGAAATGTCAAACAAGAGAGACCTTGAAAATCCTTGCAAAGAAAAAGGAAGTTATCGGGGMGTGAATGAGTGCAAATTAGCTACAACAAGTGCTTTAAGGAAAGCTTCTACTTAGAGGGAAAAAGGAATGGGCTTCCAGCAAAGGAAGAGTTCAAGGGGCAGCACAAGAAGACAAATGACAGTAGAGAAACCAAATGATAGGCAGACATGAACAATGAAGAAGAAAGTCCTCAGCCAGGCATACAACATACTTGTTGAAAATGCTGCATTAGTGCTAAGGTGAGGCTGCATACCGAGTTAAAAAAAAAAAAATCTTCCCCAGAGACTGGGACCCAGGGTAAGTCCCTGCAGGAAGAGAATGATACCACCTGCTTTCTCAACACTGTAATGTTCTTTTCAGAGAGCAGCTCAAAGACTTTGCCTTCCTGCAGTCTATAGAATTCATTCCTATCAGTGAGGTTCTGCAAAAATCACAACAGTTGAAAGAAGGTTAGTTGTCTGCCCCAAGATTGCATAAAGCAGTGCAATAACTGTAGTCATCCTCACTTGCACTGTGAAGCTATCTGGCTCGACCTCTCAGAAACTTTTCTTTGTTATGCTTCAGCTGTTGCAGAGAAACATGGTTGSTTTCCATCCCTTCTGCTGTTTGTTTGAACCCAGAAATACCTGGTTGT